ATTTCCGAGGCCTCTTCTCCTCATCTCGTCCCTCCAGCGCCACATCATAGCGATCGACAGCTTCAACCTTCCAAACGTTTGGCTAACTACGACGTGGAACTTCCTGGTTCCGCTCACACAGTGGTCGTTGATCACCCAATTCAGGACTATCTAACTAATCGGCGATTATATCAGGCGCATCATGCATTTGTAGTGACTGTTTCTCTTGCCTATGAGCCAAAGTATTTTCATCAGGCTGTTCGTTATGAGCATTGGCGAAAGGCCATGCAAGCTGAATATCTAGCTCGCGAATCCAATGGCACCTGGACCTTGTGTGTCCTCCCACTGAGTGCCATTGACTGCAAATGGGTCTATAACATCAAGTTCTTGTCTTATGGTTCTGTGGAGCACTACAAAGTGCATCTCATTGCAAAAGGCTTTACACATATCGAATGCATCAATTTTCATGACACCTTTGCTCTGGTTGCTAAGTTGGTCATTGTCTGGTGTCTTCTCGCATTTGATGTTAAACGTGGCTGGCTTATCCATCAACTCGATGTTAACAATGTCTTCTTGCACGACGACTTGACAGACGAGGTATACATGCACATTCCTCAAGGCTTCTCTCATCCTGGGGAAACACTGGTTTGTCAACTCCATAAATCCATTTATGATCTTCATCAAGTCTCGCGTAATTGGTACCAGAAGTTCACCCTTGCCTTGTTAGAGATGTAATTCGTCCAAAGTCGTGTTGATCACTCTCTTTTCACTTATCGACGTGGGTTTACGTTCATTGCAGCCTTGATCTACATTGATGATGTTATCTTGACAAGAAATGATATGTTTTTTATCAATAGCTTAAGGACTTCCTCCGCAGTCGCTTCACCATTAAGGATCTTGGTACTCTCAAGTATTTTCTTGGCATCGAAGTTGCTCGATCTCTGTGTGGCTTGGTCCTAAATTAGCAAAAGTATGTTCTTGATATCCTTGAGGAGGCTGGTCTCATTGCTTCTGGTCCTAGTCCTACCCCTATTGAGCAGAGTCATCACCTTGGTTGTGACCCTTCTGCTCATGCTCAGGATCCCTCTACTTATCGTTGTCTGGTTGGTCGGCTGCTGTATCTCACTGTTACATGACTTGACACTATCTATGATGTCAATATTCTGAGTAAGTTAGTTCACTCTCCCATGAGCCCATGAGGATGTTGCAGTTCGTGTTCTTCACTACCTCAAGACATCTCCTGATTGTGGTCTTTTTCTTCCAGCTGAAGGTGATCTTTCTTTTGTTGCTCACTGTAATGCTGATTGGGGTGGTTTCCCTACTACACAACGTCCACTACTGGTTACTTCATCACTTTGGGTTCTTCTCCGGTGTCTTGGCGCACGAAGAAGCTGATAGTGGTTGCCCAATCTTCTGTAGAGGCTGGATATTGGGCTATGGCTAGCACGGTTAGTGAGATTCTCTGCCTATGCTGGTTACTCTACGATTTGGGTGTTGTCCTCCATGCTCCTACTCCGCTCTACTACGACAATCAGGCAGCCCTGCACATTGCTGCTAATCTTGTTTTTCATGAGCACACCAAGCACGTCGAGATGGACTGTTACTTTGTTCGTGAACGTGTCCAATCCCATGATGTAGCTCCTCTCAAGATTGCATCCTCGGATCAGCCAACAGACATCTTCACCAAAGGTTTGAGCATTGATCAATTCCATTATCTCCAGGTCAAGCTCGGACTCCTTGACATCCATTCCTTCGCTTGAGGGGGCGTGTTGTGATGTCACGAGTCATCTCGACCTTACTCGTGACTCACTCTCTCGGGTCGGCTCATGTTATTTTGTGTCTATTTATTCTTCTTGTTCCCTAAATGACAATCAATCACAATATGGTTCATAATTTCGTGATTCATAGGCTGTGAATTTAATGGTAGACTTGCTGCCAAAAATATAGTAGTGGGTATTCAAAGTTCAATCCCTAAATCGGACAATACACAATGCATTGACATAATTTTACATGTAAGCATATCCATGACTCGATATTCTGCTTCAACTGGCAACTGAGACATAGTCTATTGCCTTTTGAATATCCATCTAATGCGAGAATTACATAATAACCCAAATAAATATAGTCGTTCAACGAAGAGTGACAGAGAAACTAGTCTAGTCAATATCATAGAAAACATGCTATTAAATAGTTACCGATACTGCCTTTAATGTATCCAAGGGCACGTTCAACAGTTTGTAAATGAACATCAATATCGACATGATTAAATTTTCTAAGTTGATGAACAACTAGGGGTGGCCGTTCGGTTACCGGTTAACCGGCCGGTTAAACCGATAACCAGCCAGTTATCCACTAACCGGTAACCGAACTTCGGTTGGTTATCGGAGGCTGGACGAAATGGTTTTTGGTCTTAAAAGTGGTTCGGTTAACCGGTAACCGAGAAACCAAAGCCTATTTTGGTCGGTTTTCGGTAGAGGGGTGGGTATTTCGGTTAACGGATAACCGGCCAATCGGTTACCGGTTATAACCGAACTGCCACCTCTATGTACAACATAATAGAAATCTGACCTAGTTTTGCATAAGTAAAGTATTCTAATAATCAATCTCTTAAAAACATAAGGGTTTGAAAGTGGTTTACCAGACAATGCATACAATTTAAGGTCTGGAACAGAAGGGAAATCATGTAGTTCAACACTAATCATAGTCAGTAAGCAAATCTAAAGCATATTTGTGTTGGTATAAAGAAACGCCATTTGCAGTCCTAGTTATCTCGTACCAAGAAAGTATTTCAGTTCTCCTAAGTTTTTAATCGGGAAAACATCGATTGGTTATTTTTTGAGTGAGGAAATAGCTGAAAGATTATTACCATAAATAATGATATCGTCAACATGCACAAGTTTTACCATTACTAATGCAAGTAACAAATTTATAAAAGTATGTTTTATCACAAAAGCAAAATTTCTAAATTACCAATGCTAGAGGTTAGAGTATACCCTTTGGCTATGAGTCTAGCTTTATACTTATATATAGACCCATAAGCCTTGAACGTTATCTTTGAATACCCACATGTTGTCAAATATGGTCTTTTCGAGAGGCGGCTCGTTGATGGACAGTTTTGGTTTTGTCCAATGCTTGGAACTCACCATTCATGGTTTATCTCCATCTATGTTCTTGCACTGCATATGACATGATCTTTGCTCCACATTGTTAGTGGGTAAATGTCATAATTGGTCACTGAAATTACTAAAAAATGTCAAGTTTGGTCACTAAAAATATTTTATTCCATTCGTGGTCACTGAAATTACTAAAAAATATCAAGTTTTGTCACTCTCCGTCCAACTCCGTTAACTTTTGCTTATGTGGCAGTCAACTCTTTAAATTGATCGTTAAATATATGATGTGGCAATTAAAAATTTAAAAAACAATAAAATTAAGGACTTTTCTACGGTTACTTGCACAAATAGGTTGACCGCAAAGTAATAAAGATCGACCAAATCTGCTATTTCCGCTTTGTTACGTTCAACAAAGCGGTCAACCTTGTACATGAAATGGTCGACCTCTTTGGCAAGCAAACAATAAAAAAGGTCGACCTCAATTTTAAACCGGTCGACCTTGTACATTAAATGGTCTACCTCATTCTTGAAAGGGTCGACCTCTATTGCATTACTTTATCAACATCAAACTTGGAATTATTTAAGGGTCGACAATGGAAAACGGGTATTTGATTATATTCATACTCGTCCCATATTTATTACGGGATGTGACTTGTGATTAAAAAATTTGACATTGGGTGTTCACGGATCACCCGCTAATACCCGTTTGGATAGTATGGTACCCATAATACCCATTATATTAATTCCCTATACAATATCATAGCTCAAAGCCCAGCCACGTGAGCACACTGCAGTTGAGTGTAACATAGATGTGAGATGAATTCTGATCTTTCAGTGGAAGATACATGCATCCAACCATATTCGACTACCATAATGCTAGCAACACCAATGAGTAAAATGCAGATGAGTGAGAGGAGAGAGGCTTAAGAACTCCATAATTTAGATTGCGTTTTTCGTTGTGAAATTTGTTAAGTCTTAAAGACGATTTGATTTAAAGTAACTATGATCGTAGATTGATATTAAGCTGTTGTGGTTTTTTATTTTAGGTATGTGTGAACTATTATGAGGTGTGTTTTATTGTATTTGGTGTTAGTGATTAAGCTGTTAAGAAGTTCGGGTTTCTTGCTATTATGATTGTGGATTGAATTTGTTGGTTTCTATCATAATTTTTTAGACAAAACAAAGTCCACACGTCGACAGGCATAAGCACAAAAATCAAAGGTCGCAGGCTTATTTTACTATAAGCAGTCGACCGTAAAATCAACATTTTCCTCTACGTTTCACTTCAAGAGGGATGAATTGATGTGTTGTCGACTCTTTTTCTATCTGGTCAACCTCTTGCTGGAAATGGTCGGCCTCATTCCATATATGGTAATGATCATTTTGGTAATGACTGTCCTGAAGTGGTCGATCTCTTTGTTTTTTACACTCCACCATTTTGTATATGACTAAATTGAAAGGTCGACCTATTTCCTATTATGGTCGACCATTTATTGTATGACTGCCTCAAATCGGTCGACCAATTTTTTGTAATTGTCGACCATTTTGGTATTGCCTACCTTAAAATGGCCGCCCATTATATGTTAATGGTCGACCGTAGTTTCTATAAGAATGACCACGATGGTGTAATTGGTCGACCGGATGAACACATAGATCGACCGAATTATGCAAGTCACGGTGCCTTGCATGTCACCATATGTGTACCCTAAAATTAAATATTTCAAAATTTCCACCTCATTATTTTCATAATTACAAAATAAAAATACAAAATTCCTTTATTTCTCAGTCTCTTCTTCTTCGTCTTGTATACCGACGGCTTTTTCATGTTCCACTCCCGTCCTTGGTGTCCAAAATCATTACCAAATTCACCACCTCGTCACCGTCGCTGTCCGCTCCACCGCTCAACAGCTAACCCACCCACACCAGCTTCCCCCACCTGAAATCAACGTCGTACAACCCCAGCCTGCTCCAGCTCGTGAAACTTATCCGACGTCGTCCTCCTGCAGCAGCACTATGCTCCTCTGCCCCCGCCTCCGCCAACAGAGTCGCCCCTCCCCTCCCCTGAATCTTGCTCACGAACTCGTCGTCGGTCCTCTCCGCTACGGAATCCATCAGCAGCTTCACTAAGCAACAGCTCGGGTCTTCAATCTCATAGGCCGATTGTGGCAATGGCGTGGATTACGTAGTTGCCGAATGAATTCGACGGGAACGGCGGGTTCCCCTTCCGCCGCAGGTTAACAGCTTGGGTCACGACTTTGCTGGCGGTAATTGCGCCGAGAATGGACTCGCAAAGAATTACAGTTACTACTTTTACTCTATTGATCATTGGCTCCATCAATTTCTCTTTCAGACTGGCCAATCCGGCATCATTGAAGACGAACCTTCTGGTAACAGCCGGTGACTTCCTCTTCTCCATCGTCGGAGATGGCGATCGCGCAAGGAGCATTGTAAAACACAAATGTATGCAAACTGACAGTTTATTCCATAAAGAGAGTAGCAACTTATAAACAGACTCAGCAATCTAGGTTTCCCACTAACCACGATCACCTAAACCTTAACTGTCAAGCTAAACTGCCTTCTGCACAAAGCAACTGAACTGCTGGACTCTAAAGGACACAAACATAACATAGATGACCAAACTGTAAATATCCACACGACACAGTTTTGCCTAAGACACAGACAATAAACTTCAAACTTGAACATGGCGCCAACTCTCTGCACTGCAACTTCAAACCTTCTTCTAACATCCTCCCCTGAACTAAAGTCTCCTTCTTTCTTCAGTTCACCTTGATTCTGATCACTTGATTTCATCACCATCACACACACCAAGCCTCTCTCACATCAGCTGAAAGATTTCCAGTTTCAAAGGCTTGGTCATTACATCTGCCACCTGTTCTCCTGTTCCAATGTACTCCAGCTCAACCACTCCTTCATTTGCCAACTCTCTTAGGAAGTGAAAACGCACATCTATGTGCTTGCTCCTACCATGAAAGACTGGATTCTTCGAGAGCTTTATGGTCGAGTTATTGTCACAGTAGATTGTTGTGCTTCCCTTCACACTCTCTTCCCAACCCATTTGACATAGAACCCTTCTTAACCAAACACATTGAGTTGCACAGAATGAGGCTGCAACAAATTCTGCTTCAGTGGTAGAAAGGGTCACCACTGGTTGCTTCTTTGATGCCCATGACACAGCTCCACCTGCCAAGAAAAAGACATAGCCACTGGTGCTCTTTCTGTCATCCACATCTCCAGCATAGTCACTGTCTGTGAACCCTTGCAGACATTCCTCCCCAGCTTCTTTTCTGTACGAAACACCATAACCAAGTGTTCCTTTAAGATACCTCAACACTCTCTTGGCTGCTAGCATATGTTGCCTGGTAGGATTCTCCATAAACCTGCTCAACAAACACACAGAATACATTATGTCTGGTCTGGTTGCTGTGATATACAGCAAACTTCCAATCAATTGCTTGTATTCTGTCGAGTTAACCAGAACTCCATCTCCTGCCTTGGTAAATTTGAGCCCTGGAGTCATAGGATTCTTGACATGATTGCACTCCAGGAGTTTAAACCTTTCCAAGACTTCTCTGGTATACTTCTGTTGTGAAATGAAAATCCCAGAATTGCATTGACTAACTTCAACTCCCAGAAAGTACTTCATCCTCCCCAAGTCAGTCATCTCAAACTCAGCTTCCATAGACTGTTTGAAGGCAGCAATCAATTGGGGATCATTGCCAGCAAACATCAGATCATCTACATAGAGACTGACCAGCAGAATGCTACTTCTAACCTTCTTGACAAACAAGGTATGTTCATAGGGGCATTTTTGAAAACCATGAGTGGTAAAATACCCTTCAATTCTGCTGTACCTAGGGATGGCAATGGGTCGGGTTGGGTCGGGTTTTGCCAAACCCAAACCCAAACCCATGGGTTTATCTTTGAAAAAAACCCGGGGTAAAACCCACTGGGTTTGAAAAACTCAAACCCAAACCGTTGGGTATCCGCGGGTTCATGGGTACCCACGGGTTTTGTCGTAAAAAATTTACAATTACAAGTTCTTATCAAAATTAAAGTCAAATATCAATCTCTCAATACAAATTATCCATATATAAAACACCATTCTAGAAAATTCAAGCAAATCACAAATTAAGGGTTAAAGACACATTTGGTCACTGGGATTACAAAATCGGGACATGTTTAGTCACTAGAAAAAATTAATATCAAATTTGGTCACTACAATTACTAAAACTGGACACATTTAGTCACTCGCCGTTAGTCTCCGTCCAACTCCGTTAATGAAGTCCGTTAAGTGATGATGTGGCAAACAGAATTGCCTAATCAGCCGGATATAACCCAACAAAAATAAAACCCGACCCGCCACGTCATTATAACCCGCCACATCATTTAAACCAACCCAACCCAACCCATGACCCAACCCCACCCAACCCTTCTTCCTCCTTCCTCTCGCCTCCTTCTTTCCCCAAAACCACCGCCGCCTGCCGCTCTCCTCCTTCCTCCCACCACCTTCCAACCCACCCATAAAACCAAAAAAACCCATTCCCACTTCTCACCTTCTCCAACATCGAAACCAATGTAGAGCTGCTGCAGCGAGGTTAAGTTCCCCAGCTCCGGAGGAATAGTCCCGACCACCCACCATTGGTGAGCTCCATCAAGTTCTAAAACTCGATTTCGCCTCGAATTCGCTCTCCGATCCAATCCCACCCAAAATCGGCAACTGCAGCCACCTTGAAGCGCCGAACCGACGTGGGTCCCAAATCTCTCTACCTACGTGTCCCATTCGCCCCCGCCACTTTTTTTATACCCTTCTTTCCGCCCCTCTTTCTCTCCATTTGTTCCTCGTTCTTTCTTTTCTTCCCCCAGCCTCCATTCCCACTGTTTCTGATCATCAATCTCCAGAGAAAGCAACCACTCAACTGCTTCGTTTACCCGTTCTAAAAGAAAAAAACAGAGCGATTGACTTGATTGATTTCGTCCGTTGACTTCAATTTGGGGTTTCTCCTTTGAATCGTTCGTCCTGGATAAACTTCTGTGTTTAAGACAATGTCCTGCTTGATAGCGTCAGAGCTCCTTCCCTGCTTTCCCCAACTTCTGGGTTCTCCCTCGCGGTGCCTTTTATAGCTGGGTTTTAACCCAAGTTGCTCTCTTTTTAAACTTGGTTTTATCATCTCGGCTTTCTCAAATTGGTGCTTCAATGCGGAGGATGATGTCCATGAAGCTCGGATTTTTGAGCTCTTCTTGCTTGATTCTGATGTCCATGAAGCTCCGGATTTTCGAGCTCTACATTGGTTTCGATGTTGAAGAAGGTGAGAAGTGGGGAAGGGTTTTTTTGGTTTTCTGGGTGGGTTGGAAGGTGGTGGGAGGAAGGAGGAGAGCGGCAGGCGGCGGTGGTTTTGGGGAAAGAAGGAGGTGAGAGGAAGGAGGAAGAAGGGTTGGGTGGGGTGGGGTTGGGTCATGGGTTAGGTTGGATTGGGTTGGTTTAAATGACGTGGCGGGTTATAATGACGTGGCGGGTCGGGTTTTATTTTTGTTGGGTTATATCCGGCTGATTAGGCAATTCTGTTTGCCACATCATCACTTAACGGACTTCATTAACGGAGTTGGACGGAGACTAACGGCGAGTGACTATATGTGTCCAGTTTTAGTAATTGTAGTGACCAAATTTGATATTAATTTTTTCTAGTGACTAAACATGTCCCGATTTTGTAATCTCAGTGACCAAATGTGTCTTTAACCCCACAAATTAACTATACAAATTGTTCAACACCAATCTAGAAAACTCAAAAAAATTGAAGCAAATCACAAATATTCCATAAATAACATGTTTAATTGAAAGCTTCTTCCTTTTAATTAAGTTTCTTTACTCTCCGCTCCATAACATCAACTTGATTCTACACAATTAAAAAGAAAAAATTAGACATGTCTCCACAAACATAAATAAGATTAGTTGTTTAGAATATTAAATATACCGAAAAAATTAATTATATGGGTGGGCGGGTACCCACGGGCCGGGTTTACCTAAACCCAAACCCAACCCAACCCGTTGAATAGTGAACGGGTTTAAACCCAAACCCGGCCCAAAACCCGTCAACGCGGATTTTACCCGCGTTGACCGGGTTGGGTCGGGTGGGTACCCGTGGGTTCGGGTTTTGTTGCCATCCCTAGCTGTACCAAGCTCGAGGAGCTTGTTTTAGCCCATATAAAGCTTTCTTCAACCTATAGACCTTATGTTCTTCTCCTGCAACCACAAAGCCCTCTGGTTGCTCTACATATACTTCCTCACTGAGAGTACCATTGAGAAAGGCACTTTTAACATCAAGTTGGAACACAGGCCACCCATGTGCAGCTGCCAAGGCCAGAAAAGCTCTAATTGTGTCCCACCTTGCCACTGGTGCAAAGACTTCAGTGAAGTCAATGCCATGTTGTTGAGAAAAACCCTTGGCCACCACTCTTGCTTTATGCTTATCTAGTAAGCCATCTTCTTTCAGTTTAGTTTTATAAACCCATTTCAGACCAATGCATCTAGCTCCCTCTGGTAAAACAGTAAGTTCCCAAGTATCATTCTTCTTGATAGAAGCCATCTCAACTCGCATAGCCTTGTTCCACTTCTCATCCTTGGAGGCTTCCTCATAGGTCACTGGATCTTCAGTGATTGCAACCATGGCACACCAGTCTGCAGCATAGTTGAGATCATAGTCATCCAAGTGAGCTGGTGGCTTTCTGATCCTGGGACCAAGTGTAGTACTAGTAGGATCAGCATCAGTACTAGGAAGACTGTCCTCCCCACTTTCTTCTTCTTCATTAGTCTCTAGAACTGGAGGTATTAAATCAACAGTTGGAGTGGATTGTGATGAAGTAACAACTGCTTCATCAGATTCTTCAGCAGTCTCATCAGCATCTGAGGCATACCAATCCTCATCATCACCTTCCCAAACCAGACTTGTGTCAACTAGTTGTGCCTCCTTATCCCAGCTCCAACCTTGACTTTCATCAAAGACCACATCCCTGCTCACAATCAATTTCTGTGTGTGTGGGTTGTAAAGCTTGTAAGCTTTAGATTCTGATGATAGTCCCGGGAAAATGCAAGGTTGACTCTTATCATCCAATTTCTTTCTTTGCTGATCAGGTATGTGAACATGACCAATGCATCCAAACACCTTGAAATGATCAACAGATGGAGGATGGCCTGTCCAAACTTCTTGAGGAGTCTTGTTTTTATGAGCAACTGTGGGACTTCTGTTCAGAACATGAGTGGTCCACAACACTGCTTCTGGCCAGAAGACTGCTGGAACCTTTGTGTTAGATAATAAACATCTAACCATGTTCATTATTGCCCTATTTTTCCTTTCAGCAACACCATTTTGTTGTGGTGTTAGGGATGCAGTCAGCTGTCTC